GTTTATTCTTTCCCCTAGACTTTCCCAGAAGAAACTATGACATTTTATTTGAGTAACTGAATTGCAACATAATAAATATTCAGACTTTTGGGGGACTACTGAAACTGGCTCTGAGTTGACACCGATTCCAGGACACTCTAAAGTGTCACTGTGGCCATGTTATCAGACTAGGGGCTTATGTGGTTTCAGGTGATGCTATAGATTGATTGAATTTTGTTCCCCAAAGTTCATACATTAGAAGCTTAATTCCCACTGTAAATATTTAGGAGGAACATCAGAGGCAGTTTGCTTTTAGTTGGTAGGGCCAGCAATACACTATCACTGTTCTACCTCAGGGGTATATCAACCATCCAGCCCTATGTCACAATTTAGTTTGCAAAGATATTGATGGCCTTTTGACTTCACAAAATAACCCCATCATGCATTATATTGATGATATTATGTGGATTGAATCTAGTGATCAAGAAGTAGCTACTGCTCTAGACTTAGTGGTGTGACATTTATTTGCATGACAGACGGTAGAAAATAAAGCCCAACAAAAATTCGGGGGTGTTTTACTTCAGTAACAATTTTATAGTTTCAATGATGTGGAACATGTTAAGATAATCCTCCTAAGGTAAAGATTAGTTGCTGCATCTGGACTTTCCTACAGCCAAGAAAGACGCACAATGACTAGTGAGCCTATTTGAATTTTGGAGGCAACATTTTTCTTAGTTGACTCTGTTACTCCAGCTTATTTACTGTGTGATCCAGCAAGCTGCTAGTTTTGAGTGGGACCCAGAACAAAAGAAGGCTGTGCAAGAGGTCCTGGCTGTTGTGCAAGCTACTTGTCATTTGGTCCATAGGATCCAGCAGATCTATTTAAAGAATAGATGACAACATATTGAGAAAGATTGAAACAGTTTCATGAAAGATATGGTAATTGGGAAAAATAAAATAAAATGTGAGATGGATTTTGACATGCAGGGAATAAATTTCCAGTGATCAAAAAGTAGAAAAAGAGAAATAAAGTCAAGAAAATTTTAATGTATTTTGAGATAAGCTGAAGACAAGTTTGAAGAAAAATACACCAATTGGTTAAATAATGCAAAACAGTAATAAAAATATATGTTGGGCCTAAGAAAGCTTAGTTATTAAATGTACAATTAAGGATCCTGTTTTTATAAAGTAAGCAATTATAGAATATTTATTTGCTATTTTAACTTTAAGTAGCTGTATTTGCTAAGCTTGATACATCAGTGTATGAAGTAGCATTGTTATTATTATTTTTAAAAAATAATTTCCTTCTCATTTTCTGTCCTTATTTTGTCTTTTGTCTTCCTTTGGTTTCTTACATTCCTTCTTCAAAAAATTGTAACTGGATGACTATAATTTGGCAGGCAGTCAAAGAGGAAGAGAAATGAAAATATACACAATGCTGCTTGTTTAAGGAACTGCTAACTTGGAGCCAGTCTGATACACAATGCTAAGTCATGTAAAAATAGACTGTATACTTTAATAGAGTTAAGACTTCAGTTTAGAGTGGAAAGGTGCCCTTAATTATTTCAAAATAAGGTTATAAATTTCAATTTGTCAAAATGGCTGATAAGGCAAAGTCTACAATTTGTGAAAGTATGATAGAAAAACCAGAACTATTTCAGGTGCTTTTGAAAAGAAATGCCATGAGATCTACGTCATGATTCAAAAAATAATTTATCAGAAGGAGGCTTATCATAGAAGACAAAAGGCATTAAAGAAGCCATAAGAAAGAGTAACATACAGAACAACTACTAGAGCTAGAATAAATTAGTTGGTTTATGCAACGAGCATGTGTGTATGTACGATTGTATGTGTCTGTGCACAGTATGATAGAAAAACCAGAACTATTTCAGGTGCTTTTGAAAAGAAATGCCATGAGATCTACATCATGATTCAAAAAATAATTTGTCAGAAGTTGGCTTATTATAGAAGACAAAAGGCATTAAAGAAGCCATAAGAAAGGGTAAAATACAGAACAACTACTAGAGCTAGAATAAATTAGTTGGTTTATGCAACGAGCATGTGCGTACGTATGATTGTATGTGTCCGTGCATAATTAGTTGGTTTATGCAACGAGCATGTGTGTATGTACGATTGTATGTGTCTGTGCACTAGGCAGCACCATAACAGTCATATTTTTCAGTTAAAAATAAATATATTTGGAAGCTGTCTAGAAACAGAATGTACAAGTTTCATAATTTTAGTAAAATTCATGATGAAAGATTATCGGTGTCTTCAATAAGATGGAGGGTATGAAAATTGAAAGGTGGTAGGAGTTCTATAATGATTTTGAAAGCAGATTAATAGAATTTCAAATTAACCATGACAGTGTTGTACAACCCATATTATAAAAGTTGTTGGTAAATAAGAATAATTCTTCTTTTTCCTAAGATTATCTCCTTTCTATAAGTCTTTTGTGCTTCTCCACAGAAGTAGACTATTAGCACCTCTGAGTCAACATATCCAAAGATATGGTTCTTATTCAGAGTACTCGTATATCTATTAATCAAATAAAAACTTTGAAGGAAAGCATCTAACATGCATATGTGCATAAGACATTATTGTGTTTTTGAATTAAAAATGTAACTACTTAATTATGTGTCCAGCTAAAGGCTGCTTAAATTAAATAGCACACAAAGAATTAATTATAAAACAAGACACAAAGTGATAGGTGTTGTAAGAGAAAAGTGGAAGAAAGATAATCAGCAAAATTCTATTTATTAGGTGGGTATATACAAGATAGTGGGTGAAGAACCAATAGGAAATGAACAAAAACAATAAACAGCCAAACCTATATGTATAATAAAAGATAAGATATTAAATAAGTGGAAGAAAGCAGCACAAAGAGATAAATTATAAATATATGAGCTCTATAATTGATGGGTAAAGGTTCTGTGGATATAGTGAAAATGGATGAGGAAAAGTGAAAGAAAGAACTTACACTAATTATTAATCTAAAACAGGATGGCAGAGTCTAAATCTGATAGTGGTGGTGGTGACCACGATGACAATGTTCATTGTATTTGCTTGAACATGTGTGAGTACATGTGTATGTGTAAGTCTGTGTAAGTGTGTGCAGGTAGGAAGAGAGAAAGTGAGAAAAGGGAAAGGGAGAGAAACAGAATTTGACAAATGTCTTGTTTTACTGTTGAGATAAAAACAGGCGTTGTTATAATGCTGAGAGTGAGGGAACCTCTGCTCTCTATTTGCTTGGTGTCTCTGCCTTTTATTTCTTACTTAATCTTCACTTCTCAGGGCAATCTGAACAGCCAAGACCTGTGGAATCTACCTGTGCGGTAACACTCTTCTCTCATTTCTAGCTCACAGTTACAATTCAAATTCATATCCATAGTTTTATCTCACCAGGACTGTTGCAATAATGTTCTGAATAGTCTCCTTATGTTCTGCTTCTTTCCTCAAAAGTAACACACGTGCTGTGTTTTTATATACTCTGACTTCCCAAAAGTTTCCCATTCCTAAATAAAAGGCACTCAGGAATGTGAGACATTCCAGAAACTAGCAAATTTTGTTCCAATTTGTTATTCATTGTTATCCTACCCATGCTTCGTGTCACTCACTGTTTTTGCCACCAGCACTGGGATTTCCAGATTATGTGTCATTACTTAGATATTTTTTTTATCTCTCCCTTTAAAACTCCCTACTTTATCACCATCTACAAAAAATTATTGCAATCACTCACAGTCTCTAAAATTTTTTCTCCATATAGCCTGTAGAAATCTCACCTAGTAGCTGATTTTTTTCCTCCAGAATTATGTTTTTGTGCCATTATTAATAAACTGACTTACATAATAGCTATATCATGTGTACTTTCCATTACCACTTCTAGCCTGATAAGTTAAAAATTATTTCAGAGCTTACACATTTTAATTTTTAAAAATATTAATATTTTTCATTGGTAAGGATTAATCATAAATGTTAAATTGACTTTTACAGATTTATTATTTTTAAAAATATTACAATCTTGTGGATCCTAAACCAAGTGTTAATTACTGCAGCTCCAAAGTAACTTTTTGAGGGGGGCCGGCACAAGGATCCTTTTCATTTCTTAGGTTTTGTGTATACTTTTTGATAGCTTTTTGACCTATGAACACAAAATATGAGTAGGTCCTTCTACAATAGCATATTATAACATGCTGAGTATAATTTTACCTTGAAAAATAAATAAAAAGTACTAAAAATACAGTGTGACCTGAAGGAATACTGATAAAAATTTATTTAAGAACTATAAACTAATTCAATAAAAAAGAGAAAATATTTAAACATAGCCCTTATCCAATTTCATTTTCAGTAAATGCCAAGACTTAGTGTTTGTACAATATAGTTGATTTTTGTGTCTTTACCAATTCCTCCTATTCCTCCCTCCCCCCACCCCCACCCATTAATATCATATCTGTTCATTTGTCTTAAAATCTGGAAGGTAATAGTTTAGCCAAGATCTGAATGAAGGTTTTGACTGTCCCCCAAATAACTAGATAAAGGATACTCCTGTCAAAAGAAAAAGAAAAAGAACAGGTAAAGCCCTAAAAATGAGGAAAAAATGGATCTTCAATCATTTCAAGAAAAAAGAAAAAATACTCATGTGCCAGGTTTGCAGTGTGTTTGAGGAAGAGAGCCCTGTGAAATGATGTTGAGGAAGTGAGAGGAGGCCGTATAATTTAACTCCTGGTTGGCCAAGCGTAGGAGTGAGAATTCTATTTCAATTGTGATGGGAAGACATGGAAAGTGAACTTGTTTTAATTTTATATTAGACAGATCTATGTGGTTTGAAGGCTAAAACTTGACCTGATAAAGGGCAGATATGATCCCAAGTGGCACTGGTCCATATCAGTTTTTACTACAATTAACAACAACAACAACAACAAAATAGTATCTAAATCTAGAAGGTAGAAATTGAAGTGAAAATTAGTTATATATAAAAAATATTTTGAGGGCCTATTAGCCTATTGGCCTATTAGCCTATTGGCCTGTTAGCTCAGTTGGTTAGAGCTTGGTGTTAATAACACCAAGGTCCCAGTGTTCAATCCCTGTACTGGCCAGCCACACATGCACACACAATAAATTGAGATAAAAAAATTCAGTGAACTGAATTTTCAGTGAGAATGTATATAGGTAGTTTCTGGACATCAGGAGAGAGAAAACAGATGAAAAGTATAGAGGATACTACTTAAATTGTGAACTGGACAGTTGAATAAATGATGGAAGTTAGTTGAGAGTAGGAAATTTGGGGAGGAAGGAATAGATGGAAAAAATGAATAGTTCTCATTTGGACATTGTAATTTTGATATGCCTACTGGTTATTCAAGTGGAGTCATGGCATAGGCAGAATCCAGATCGCAGGGTAGAGTTTGAGGCTGGAGATGAAAATGTGCACTTTCAGCATTTGGGAGATATAAAACCTGAAATTTGAGAAGTTTTCTTAGGAAGAGTATAATTAAGAAGGAGAAGGAAGCCATAGAATAAAGGTAAATGATGCTAATTTAGCTTAAAATTCTAAAAAGGACAATTCGGGGAAAAAAAAAAGAAAAAAAAAAACCTTTGAAAGTTTGATAGCCCTTCAATATTATCTTCATTGTCACAGCAACCCAGAAAATAATGTATATTAACATTTGTGAATACGTGACACAATAACAAGGATAGAAACAACTAAGATTAATTCAGTGCTTAATATATAGAGAAATGTTTACTATGCCAGTATCATAAATTATTCATTCAAAACACTCCCACTTCACAGCTGAAAAACATGAATTGTTCACAAACATGCCTGATGAGTGGAGCTTGGCTGTGATTTCACTTTTGATCTTCTCGAATGCCAGACTATGAAAACCTACGTTTTTAGCAGACCAAGAATTACTTTTACTAAGTTGCTACATGTATATCTATTTCTGTACACTTCGATCTGTGTTTTATTGTTATTTATTGTCTATTTTCAGGGATTCCAAGCTATAACATGCTCTTTAAAATGCTGCAGAGTGGAGGATTCATGCAGACTAATTTTTCTAGCCATATTTATGCTGCACATTTATCCATCTCCGAGAGACAGAACAAAAGCTGTGAAGGTGGATCTAAAGAGTCAGGAAACAATGGCTTACCTGGAGCAGGAGTAAAGAAACAAACAAANCTTGTCATTTGGTCCATAGGATCCAGCAGATCTATTTAAAGAATAGATGACAACATATTGAGAAAGATTGAAACAGTTTCATGAAAGATATGGTAATTGGGAAAAATAAAATAAAATGTGAGATGGATTTTGACATGCAGGGAATAAATTTCCAGTGATCAAAAAGTAGAAAAAGAGAAATAAAGTCAAGAAAATTTTAATGTATTTTGAGATAAGCTGAAGACAAGTTTGAAGAAAAATATACCAATTGGTTAAATAATGCAAAACAGTAATAAAAATATATGTTGGGCCTAAGAAAGCTTAGTTATTAAATGTACAATTAAGGATCCTATTTTTATAAAGTAAGCAATTATAGAATATTTATTTGCTATTTTAACTTTAAGTAGCTGTATTTGTTAAGCTTGATACATCAGTGTATGAAGTAGCATTGTTATTATTATTTTTTAAAAATAATTTCCTTCTCATTTTCTGTCCTTATTTTGTCTATTGTCTACTTTTTTTATTTTTTCTTCCTTTGGTTTCTTACATTCCTTCTTCAAAGAATTGTGACTGGATGACTATAATTTGGCAGGCAGTCAAAGAGGAAGAGAAATGAAAATATACACAATGCTGCTTGTTTAAGGAACTGCTAACTTGGAGCCAGTCTGATACACAATGCTAAGTCATGTAAAAATAGACTGTATACTTTAATAGAGTTAAGACTTCAGTTTAGAGTGGAAAGGTGCCCTTAATTATTTCAAAATAAGGTTATAAATTTCAATTTGTCAAAATGGCTGATAAGGCAAAGTCTACAATTTGTGAAAGTATGATAGAAAAACCAGAACTATTTCAGGTGCTTTTGAAAAGAAATGCCATGAGATCTACATCATGATTCAAAAAATAATTTGTCAGAAGTTGGCTTATTATAGAAGACAAAAGGCATTAAAGAAGCCATAAGAAAGGGTAAAATACAGAACAACTACTAGAGCTAGAATAAATTAGTTGGTTTATGCAACGAGCATGTGCGTACGTATGATTGTATGTGTCCGTGCATTAGGCAGCACCATAACAGTCATATTTTTCAGTTAAAAATAAATATATTTGGAAGCTGTCTAGAAACAGAATGTACAAGTTTCATAATTTTAGTAAAATTCATGATGAAAGATTATCGGTGTCTTCAATAAGATGGAGGGTATGAAAATTGAAAGGTGGTAGGAGTTCTATAATGATTTTGAAAGCAGATTAATAGAATTTCAAATTAACCATGACAGTGTTGTACAACCCATATTATAAAAGTTGTTGGTAAATAAGAATAATTCTTCTTTTTCCTAAGATTATCTCCTTTCTATAAGTCTTTTGTGCTTCTCCACAGAAGTAGACTATTAGCACCTCTGAGTCAACATATCCAAAGATATGGTTCTTATTCAGAGTACTCGTATATCTATTAATCAAATAAAAACTTTGAAGGAAAGCATCTAACATGCATATGTGCATAAGACATTATTGTGTTTTTGAATTAAAAATGTAACTACTTAATTATGTGTCCAGCTAAAGGCTGCTTAAATTAAATAGCACACAAAGAATTAATTATAAAACAAGACACAAAGTGATAGGTGTTGTAAGAGAAAAGTGGAAGAAAGATAATCAGCAAAATTCTATTTATTAGGTGGGTATATACAAGATAGTGGGTGAAGAACCAATAGGAAATGAACAAAAACAATAAACAGCCAAACCTATATGTATAATAAAAGATAAGATATTAAATAAGTGGAAGAAAGCAGCACAAAGAGATAAATTATAAATATATGAGCTCTATAATTGATGGGTAAAGGTTCTGTGGATATAGTGAAAATGGATGAGGAAAAGTGAAAGAAAGAACTTACACTAATTATTAATCTAAAACAGGATGGCAGAGTCTAAATCTGATAGTGGTGGTGGTGACCACGATGACAATGTTCATTGTATTTGCTTGAACATGTGTGAGTACATGTGTATGTGTAAGTCTGTGTAAGTGTGTGCAGGTAGGAAGAGAGAAAGTGAGAAAAGGGAAAGGGAGAGAAACAGAATTTGACAAATGTCTTGTTTTACTGTTGAGATAAAAACAGGCGTTGTTATAATGCTGAGAGTGAGGGAACCTCTGCTCTCTATTTGCTTGGTGTCTCTGCCTTTTATTTCTTACTTAATCTTCACTTCTCAGGGCAATCTGAACAGCCAAGACCTGTGGAATCTACCTGTGCGGTAACACTCTTCTCTCATTTCTAGCTCACAGTTACAATTCAAATTCATATCCATAGTTTTATCTCACCAGGACTGTTGCAATAATGTTCTGAATAGTCTCCTTATGTTCTGCTTCTTTCCTCAAAAGTAACACACGTGCTGTGTTTTTATATACTCTGACTTCCCAAAAGTTTCCCATTCCTAAATAAAAGGCACTCAGGAATGTGAGACATTCCAGAAACTAGCAAATTTTGTTCCAATTTGTTATTCATTGTTATCCTACCCATGCTTCGTGTCACTCACTGTTTTTGCCACCAGCACTGGGATTTCCAGATTATGTGTCATTACTTAGATATTTTTTTTATCTCTCCCTTTAAAACTCCCTACTTTATCACCATCTACAAAAAATTATTGCAATCACTCACAGTCTCTAAAATTTTTTCTCCATATAGCCTGTAGAAATCTCACCTAGTAGCTGATTTTTTTCCTCCAGAATTATGTTTTTGTGCCATTATTAATAAACTGACTTACATAATAGCTATATCATGTGTACTTTCCATTACCACTTCTAGCCTGATAAGTTAAAAATTATTTCAGAGCTTACACATTTTAATTTTTAAAAATATTAATATTTTTCATTGGTAAGGATTAATCATAAATGTTAAATTGACTTTTACAGATTTATTATTTTTAAAAATATTACAATCTTGTGGATCCTAAACCAAGTGTTAATTACTGCAGCTCCAAAGTAACTTTTTGAGGGGGGCCGGCACAAGGATCCTTTTCATTTCTTAGGTTTTGTGTATACTTTTTGATAGCTTTTTGACCTATGAACACAAAATATGAGTAGGTCCTTCTACAATAGCATATTATAACATGCTGAGTATAATTTTACCTTGAAAAATAAATAAAAAGTACTAAAAATACAGTGTGACCTGAAGGAATACTGATAAAAATTTATTTAAGAACTATAAACTAATTCAATAAAAAAGAGAAAATATTTAAACATAGCCCTTATCCAATTTCATTTTCAGTAAATGCCAAGACTTAGTGTTTGTACAATATAGTTGATTTTTGTGTCTTTACCAATTCCTCCTATTCCTCCCTCCCCCCACCCCCACCCATTAATATCATATCTGTTCATTTGTCTTAAAATCTGGAAGGTAATAGTTTAGCCAAGATCTGAATGAAGGTTTTGACTGTCCCCCAAATAACTAGATAAAGGATACTCCTGTCAAAAGAAAAAGAAAAAGAACAGGTAAAGCCCTAAAAATGAGGAAAAAATGGATCTTCAATCATTTCAAGAAAAAAGAAAAAATACTCATGTGCCAGGTTTGCAGTGTGTTTGAGGAAGAGAGCCCTGTGAAATGATGTTGAGGAAGTGAGAGGAGGCCGTATAATTTAACTCCTGGTTGGCCAAGCGTAGGAGTGAGAATTCTATTTCAATTGTGATGGGAAGACATGGAAAGTGAACTTGTTTTAATTTTATATTAGACAGATCTATGTGGTTTGAAGGCTAAAACTTGACCTGATAAAGGGCAGATATGATCCCAAGTGGCACTGGTCCATATCAGTTTTTACTACAATTAACAACAACAACAACAACAAAATAGTATCTAAATCTAGAAGGTAGAAATTGAAGTGAAAATTAGTTATATATAAAAAATATTTTGAGGGCCTATTAGCCTATTGGCCTATTAGCCTATTGGCCTGTTAGCTCAG